AAATGCATACTTCGTTGGTTTTTTTTCCTTCTTTTTTCTTTTTTTTTGGGGGGGAGAGGTGTGGGGGGGGGTAGAGAGGAGAAGGAAAGGTTGAAAAACAGTGGCTCGGTTTAGCCAGGTACAGTACTTGCATCCTCAAGAGAAGGGCACACCTATTCCCAGCATCAGAGTGGGTTACAAAGAAGATATGAACAGGGATATGGAAGGAAATGTTTGACAGCTGCCCAACTATTTCTCAGCCAGGTCTTCAAAGCTTCATTATTAGCTTAGAAGTGAACCTGTAACTCACAAAAACCCAAAACGGAAGCATGATTAAAAAAAAAAAAAGCCCAATACCACAATCTAACCAAATACACAATGCCTTTTGTTTAGCTCCATGTAGCATTAGGCACACCTGAGGTACACTTCATGAATATCAATAATCAAGAGTTGACCATTAATAGACATGGGGATTGATAAAAACACAAGAGGTATCAAAAAGGGGATCCTCCTTGGTAACAAATGGACATCCTTGTAGGGATGGTTTTCAAGGGAACATACTCCCTTCACTGCCATTCTTTGAGTCACGTTTCTCACTCTTGATAACATTCTGTTCTAAATTTGGGTTCAGTACATAAAGGTCTGAGGAATTCCTTTAAGTGAGTTTTCTGATCCCCTTCCTTTTTTGTACACAGCCATAAATCTTGTGGAGTTGGATTTAAGCTTCAGCAAAGCAGGGAAGCTGCTGTCCCAGGGGCCAGACACAGTTTCTAGCAGGTTTCAACTGTTACCTCCCAAGGGAAGACAAGAAATCAACAACTAAAAGCTTGAAGCAAGGAGAGGTGGAGGTTTCCAGATATAAACCTTAGCACAGTTAACACACTGAAGGGACTCAGGGCTCCACCCCAGGAAAAGGGAATGAAAAGGGGAAAGTAAGAAGTAGTAGAATGGTAATCCTGCAGTAAGAAGAATGAGGGAAGGAGTTTCTCTAATACAGCCTAATAAAGACCCAAGCCTTGTCATCATTCACCATGACAATCATCTGTTGAGATAGTAATTTTGGCATCTGAAAATCTTCATCCCATACTGAAGGTGAAAAATTCTCCCAAAACATCCCTTGTGTAAACTAAGAACTTGCATATGAAATAAATAGTAAAGTTTTGTTTTGTTTTGTTTTAATTTTTAAGTCAACTATAGCTATCTGTAGTCTCTTACTGGAAAAATACTGTTTCTGTGTAAATTGGTAGACTTGCATCTACTTTGTATTCTCATACTTTAAAAGGGACTCTTCTGAACTCCCTTTGGTGAAGATAAGGCTTTAAAGGACCTACCTAAGAGAAACATTTATTTTTTTCTTTTTAAGTGAGTCACAACACATAAGTACTTTACAAATTAATACTTTCAGTGCACTAACAGCAATAAAAAGCAACAGTACATTTATCATTCTAAACACTCCAGCTGATTTGTCTTTCATTTCCCACCATCTTCCAGGAATTAAGATTTTCTGCAGAAGCCAAGTGAAAAGTCTATTTTTCCTTTTTCCCTCTTTCCCTTTCTGTGCCCCCCCAAAAAATTCTACTTCCTCTTTTTGCCAAGTTTACTTTGACATACAGAATCCTTCATAATTCAAATGAAGATAAAAGTCATACTAATCTTTTAACTTCATTTACAAATTATAAGCAGTATAAACAATATCAAACACTTAACTCATTAGCAAATCTAGGTTACAATGTCAAAAGATAGTATCATTTTTGCATGGGCTCAAAAGACTGTAAACTATTAAATTTAAGATGGATGCATAACTTTTAGTATGATCTATTACTTTCATTCTCAGGTCTAAGTTTATGCCTAAGTATAAACATCTAGATATTCTAGCTACATAAAACTGGAGAGGTAACTTTGATCTAATTCAACACAGCCACCTATAAGGGAAAAAACTGAGGTCCAGAGTGTGAAAAGTGACTTGGCCAAAATAAAAATAAGACTGTCAAAGCCTGTGAAACAAGCTTTCAAAGCAATCACTTCAAACTGTCCTTTATATCTTCCTTCAAGTTTTAAGATTATATACATATTGCAAGTTGTCACCCTCTTTGGAATTAACCTGACCTAGCATATTAACACACTTAAAATTATGCTGAGAACATAAACAGAAAAGAATAAAACAAAACAAAACCAAAACCAACTGCTGAGTAATTATAATGACCAAACTGTAGGCTGCCCAAAAAAGATACGGGAATGCACCTGCTTCCTTTCTTTGCTAAGGTGAGACACTATGGGTACAGAACACTACCTGTACTGTCACACTTAGTTGATATAATGGTTAGTTTTGCTAGATTTCATCATCTTCCTTTTTTTATTACTCATTGTTATATGGGATGGCTCTCTGGGTGAGATATAGCTGGAAATCAAAGTGTGTAAAAACAAAAAATAGCAATACAAAATTTGTAAAATAGAAAGCAATAGAAATCTAAATTAATATTATGTCATTATATATCATGTCCTGATATTTGCAGATTGGTCTCAAGAGTTTTATCAGTAAAAATGATCAATAATCAGTGGAAAGATTGTGGCAAACTGATGTTTCTTACTGTACTTGCACTCCTTAGTCTAATGTGAGACGGCAGTTCTCAGGAGAGGAGTTGCCGCTCCATCTGTCCTCCAACATGCTTCAATCAGAAAAGAAAAACTAAGGCTATTTGAAGGAAGCCATCTTTAAGCTTTCCTTTTCAAGAATTTGGAATACTAGTAACCTACATTAAATCAGAACACTTTCACAAGTAGTTTAAGTTGTAATTACTTCCCAATTACTGTTGTTAAAGTGATGAAAAATGAGATTTTGGAGAAAATAACCCTCTCTCTGAAGGAAATACATGTCAGGAAACCTCACTAAGGATAACAAAAACTGTACTAGAGGTCGGCTAAGGGGAGAAAAAGGAAAAAAAACAGAATAAAGCAAGTATAGGTGAAAAGGACTTTAGAGAATATCTAGTCATTAAGAAACTGAAGTCCAGAGAGATTAAAATGGTTAAAGTGATTGCCCAAGGTCATCCAGGTAATAACAGCAGTGCTAGTACTCTCTAGACCAGAGCTAAGACTCTCAAGATTCCCAGTCTACTCCATTTTTCCATTAAGCCTTTCTCCTATCACATAAATAGACATTTTCCCTATTACTCACACCTGTAAGTAAAAGTTTTAAAAGTCAATACTGTTTCCAAACGAACGAGGAAGTCATTGAACCCAAGAGAAAAGCTGTTTAAAATTCATAAATAATATTTAAAATTCAAGCTTTTAGATAGCATGACATGAAATCTTTCCTTAAAGATGAATATGCAGTTTTTAAAATTGTAACAGTTTTTACAAGATGCAAATTACATTGCTAGAACAAGTTCTGAAAGTCTTCTGCTAAAATCTCTTAGACATACATATATTCCCTATACATGAACATATTCCTTGCATATATGCACATTGCTTAAATATATATATGTAAATTCCTTAAATATATATTGAGGCAGCACCAAAACTCAAGTCAAAAAATTGAGTTCAAAGTATAGACTCTGCCATTACTACTCCAGTGACCTTGGACAAATCCTCACCTGAATTTGACTAGGTGACCTTTAAAGTCTCTACATCTATGAACTTATGTTTGAACAAATTATAACAGAAAGTTCAGGTCTACACAATAATCAACACCAAATACAACCAAAGATTGAAATAGTCATGTAATATATCTGATAAGTTATTCTAAAACACTGATCCATTTATATACTGGAGAGTCAATAACTAATGACATACATTACTGTCAGTTCCTACACCATAAAGCTAGCAGTATTTTCAATCATGTTTCTGAAATTATCCAAAAAATATGCTTAAATTTATATGAAGTATTGATTTACCCTAATAATGATTTAAAATTGGGAAGCATCATCTACAGTTTTTTTTAAAGTTCCATTATTTAAGGGAAAGTGGGCAGCAAGGGCTGGGAAATTCCCCATGGGAGGGGGAAGGGATTGGAAGGCTTTTTAATTCAAACTAAAGCCTTTAAATGAAGTTGCAAAATAACAGATATTCTACAGCAAGAGAAACTCTCAAGAAGCACCTGAAGCCCATAGGTACTATATCTGCCTGAGATTCCCACTTTAATACTCCAACGAACAGGTAATTCTTTACAATTCAGCTCCTGGGCTTCTGAGCCTAAAACAGAAGTCTCTGTACATTCTTGCACAGCAGAGCAGCAGTTTATATTGGAGATGCATTTAATTTCCAAATAAATTACTTTATTACTCACTAGTAGCCATGAGACAACTTGCAATACTGGAAAGAGTAGTGTAGTCAGGAAAGACGAGTTCAAATTCTACCTCCGATTACCACTAGCAGGACACACAAGTCACATAAGGCTGTTTCTTCACGCGTAAAATGAGATTAAGAACAAGGCAGATACCTAACTTACAGGACTATGATGATGGTAAGATGAAATAATGTATGTAAACTGTTTTGCAAACCTTAAAACGTTTTAAAAACATCACTTATTATTATTGTTATTATTTTTATTATGACTACTACTACTAGAACTAACGTTTACAAAGCGGAAAAACTGTAAGAGAATTCAATCTTCTTCTCCTCCCCCCCCTTTTTTTTGAGAGGTGGGGGAGGAGACCTACGGTGAAAACCAAACAATAGAATTGTGTAATTATGGTTACTGAAAGATTTAAGAATTCTAAGAAAGAAGGATTTTTTCCGGTTGAAGACCAACATTCAAATTCTGATTGCCTTCAAGATATAAACTCAAGGTCCTTAAAAAGACAACTTCTTAGTAGCTAAAACACCTTTAAAATAAGATGATCCTATAAAGGTTAGTTCTTACACCTGCAGACTTTAAAGCGAAATAATCACGAATTTAGCCAAAGATTGAGAAGTCTTTTGTTTAAAACATACCCATCCCAAAGGTTCCATTCCCCACCCCACCCCACTCCCATCCTTATTTCCTCCTTAGAAGATTCAAAGTCTAATGCAAAAATCCTTACCCCATTTTGCCCAGTGAAAACTTCCACCGAAGTTGCTCTACGGAAGAATTTCCCAAGGAATCTTTTCAGTGGCTTTACTGCCGTTGGTTATCCCACGTGATCCGCGCGTGTCTGGAGGTATTTCAAGGATGCCGAGACAATTCGGCTCGTTTCCTCAGGTAAATGAATCTCTCGCGTGGAGATCCCAAAATGTTCAAAGCAAAGGAGGTGGCATCTGCTTGCGAGAGTTAAAATGCCGCGCTGGGGAGCAGCGGAGTCCAATTCTAATTCCACAGCGTGAGTCCGCGTGGGTTGATGCACAATCCAGGTTCATGGAGTCCTATAAGAAAGGAGTTCGGCGGACGCTGCTCGCATGTCCTTTCGCACAAGGATGCAGTCCCCGCGCCAGGAGCAGGAAAGATGCTCGTCTTCTTTTTCCAAGCTGAAGGGAGAGCGGGCGGCGCGTTCAAATCTCCCTGGCACCCCTGCAGGTCTACCGGGTAGGGAGCGCGACACAACGGGGCATGCAATTTTAAAATTGATAAAAAATGGAAATCAAAACCTTAAAATGGGGAGGAAATGGAACTATTTCTGTCCCCTTGCAAATAGAAAAAGATTTTTTTTTTAATAGAAAAATCTCAAAGCGCAAACCCAGCAACTCCCAAACGTGCACGATACTCCACGGAGGCGAAATCTTTTCCCTCCCCCTCCTCTAACACTCTGAGCATAGAGGAGGTGGGGAACAGGAAGAGAAGGCTGAGGAGGATCGATTCATTCCCCTGAAGAGAATAAATGAAGCCATTTCAAGGCTGGCAGCAGGAGGGGAGAGCAGCAGCACATCTCGGGGGAGGCCGAGAGATAAGGAGGAGGAGGGCCCCCAAAATCTCACCTCCCTCTACCTCCCCCTCTCCTTATTCGGCTGAACACAATGGAGCCTTGCCTGCGCTGGTCCCTTCATTCACTGCTTTTTTTTTTTTTTCAATTAAAAGATACATTCATATTCTTATTCTCTCTTTCCCTTTTTCTCTCTCTCCCTTTCTCTCCCTCTTTCGAAGCCAGAGACTTCGAACCTCCCAGCCAGCAGAGAATGAATGAATCAGAGAAAGGCGAGCCCCCCACGCTTATCCCCTGCACCGAGCCCCCAGCAGCACAGTGCGGACTGAAGGCAGCAGGAAGGGAGGGAGGGAAGGATGGTAGGGGTCAGAGGGGAGGGGATATTAGTATCAATTGGCTGCACCGGCCCCTCAGAGGATGCAATCCGTTCTGCCCACCCGCTGGGGCCCGGGAAATGTGGCTCCGGGATGCTCGCTGGCAAGCTGCAGCCGAGGGAGCCAGTTCACATGCCTGGCCAGTCCTCCTCCTTCTCCCCTGCCTCACACCTCCATCCTCACCCGCCCCCGCCTCGATCTCTCCTCGTTCTCCCGCGCTCAAAAGAGCGGCACCAGCCCCGGCCGGCCCTGCTCGCTGTTGCTGTTGCTGCCGCCTCCTCCGCTGCTGGGCTCCCGGGCAAGCAGGCGGGGAGGCTGCTTACCCCACCGCTAGCTACCGCCTGGGAAAAGGAGGAGGAGAAGGAGGAGGAGGAAAAGGAGGAGGGAGGGAGAACGGCAGGCAGAGCAGGCAGGATGCGGGAGGAGCAGGAGGAGGAGTGGTGTAGTGGGGGGAAGGGAGGGTGGGAGCGCTCGTCTCTCGGTCCCTCCCACTAGCAGCAGAGGAGGCAGACACAAGCAGCGGCCCGAAGGACCAGCCGCTAACCTGGCCCCCGGAGAGGAGAACCAGGGAAGGAGACGGAGCCGGCAACAATGGGAAGAGCAGGGGTGATGCTGCTGCTGCCGCCGCTGCCGCTGCCGCTGGTGCTGGTGCCGGCGGGGCTGAAGAGGCTAAGCCGGCCCTGGCGAGGACAGGTCACCGGGCCCTACCCCCAGCCTCCCTTATATGCCCCCGGTTGGCCAGCTGCACGGTCTGCTTCTGCAGCAGCTCCTTGCCCCAGCCCCTGCTACTGCCGCCGCCGCCACCGCCGCCACAGCCTCTTCCAGTGCCCGCACCAGGCGCGCTCGCTGTGTCTCCATCCTCCCCTCTGGAGGACCTTTAAATAGCAACGTCACCGCGTTCCCCTCCGCACTCACGTCACCCGCCGCTCACGTCACCAAGGTGCGGGGGATGATGTCACGCGGCCGGAAGTACTGCTAAATAAGGGAAGAGTGGGGGAGAGTGGGACGCGCTGCCAGGTTCTCTGTGCCCACCTGCTCTAGCATCTCTTTAAAGGCCACAGCACAGGAGAGACAGCCCAAGAGGGGATCGGAGAAGGAAGTGGCGGGAGGGAGGGATTTTCTAGCAAGGAATAAGCCAGATACTAGTGAATCATTCATAGCAACCGCGCCCCAAGTGTCAAGCAAGTGATTTCCTATGTCCCACTCACTGCTGCTGCTGTTAGCAGTATCCTTAGGCTCCTTGTGTCCCAGCCAGCGATAGCGTGTGGGAGGGAAAGCCCTGGCTCTTACTGGTCATTAATAATGATTATACTGCATCTTAAGTCGACAATATGTTAAGGAAATCATAATTTAAAAAGCATCTATTAAATGCCCTGTGGGCATGACACGCTATAAAAGTTTTATATTAATGAAAAATAAGTTCTTGATTTCTTGAAGATTACTTACCAACAAAGTTTATGAAAAAGGAAGAGGCTAAGTCCTAAGTCCAAGTTTTTGTGAATTGTGATAATTAAACTTAATAGCTAAGAAAATGGAGCAATTTCTTTTTTTTTTTTTTTTTTTAATTTGTAAAACCTTGTCATAGTGCACCCAAGAGTTTGGGTCAATCCTAATCACACACAAAAAAAATGGCACCATCAGAGATAATTTTCATTTAATGATTTCTATAAAGTGCCATTAAGTATGAGGCATGCCTTTGTCATACTCTCATTTTCTGGCTTTTTACTGAAAATACCACCAAGGATTATCATTTATGTTAATTATAGAGGCTGGCGAGGATCGGCAGCCAAAAGAAACTTAAAATCAAAACATTTCTATCTCTCCTAGCCTCTTTGGATATGAAAAAAGCTACATTAGAATATTTCTTTATACTTTATAAGATGGATGATGTAACTGATATGAATATGCAGTCAACAAGAATTAAGTGCCTATTATGTGCCAGGCACTGTGCTAAGTGCTGGGGGATACAAATGTAACAGTGACTACCCCGGTGGGCACTGCCTGAAGCCCAGATATGTTACATTGCACCTCTCTCCGAGGGTTCTCCAGTACCCTTACAGGAGTTATGGGTATCTAGTCTCCTTGTCATTGGCTCCAGCCCGGAACAATGGCATTCCTTTAATTTTAGGGGTCCCCTACAATGTAATTCCATCTAACCACCTAACAGCCAGATTAGCTTTTACAAAGGAATATTTATTTCAAAGATGTAGCACAAACAAACATGCAAACATTTCCCCCAACATGAAATAATTCCCCCCCACACACATACACACACTCCAACCCAGGCCAGATTCTGAAAGGGGAGGAGGATGAGGTTCTCAGCTCAGTTCCTATATATCTTGAGCCCACCCTGGGCTCAAGTCCCTGCCACTTTCAGTTCTAGGGGCTTCGCTGATGGACTGGCAGCATCATCCCAACTGGAATCCTGCTTCTAAAGGACTTGACCGCTCCAGGGCCTAGAGATTCCACTATCTGTACCTGGAACAGAAAAGGGCAAACAAAAAAGACCCAAATCCCAAGCCCAGGGTCACAGGGCCAAAAGGGGCAAGGACAAGGACTATCTCTCTCAATAGTTCAGTTCATGATGCCTATCTTGTGAGTGAACAGTTCTTTCACCCCCTATGGACACAAGTAGAAAGAGAGAAATTGAGAATGTTCTGGTAATTTTAAAGATGCAGACTGTTCCAGCTACATAGGCAATGGAAAAAGGCTACTTCCACCCACATGATAGAAGAATGCAGAATGTCTTCTCTCAGAAGCAGGTCTTCAGCATCTCCCACATGTTAGGTTAACTGGGCATATACAAATCAAAGCTCCTTTACACAAGAAGAAGCAAAAACCAGTCTCTGTTCTCAAGGAGTTCAGAATCTCCTACATCATAGCAAATTATACTTCTTCCAAATCTGAGAGAATAGTCTTCATGAATAACTCTGGACAGAAAAATTCTTTAGCTAGTGAACATGGGCCTCTTTGAAATTAGGTTGGTTCTGAAATGGCAGACATATAATCTGTTGCTTGGCTGGAATTCAAAGCCTTTCTAGCTTGGGAAGATCTATCAGAGCTTATGCTCTACCAACATAACCTTTGATAACCCAGAGTCATGGGATCACAGATTTAGTGAAAGGCTCTAGTCCAACCCCCTGATTTTATAGTGGTGGTAACCTCTCCATGGTGACTAGGCATCAGAATAGGACTTTAGTGGAATCCTTGGCCATCTAACCTTTTATATTTTGATACTTTCTAAGATTTGCTATTTGTAATCCACCAAGTGAAATTATATGCATGTATACAAATAATATAAGATGGAATGCAACCTATTAGAATACAGATAGCTATTCTACAAATCTACATACAAAGTAGATTGAATCATGGCACCAGAAACATAATCATCAATAATGACATATTAAATTATATTTTACAATAAAAAAACCTTCTACCTATATTATTTTATTTGGTACTTCACAAATGAAGAAGGTACAGCAATATTTCTATGGTATCTTAGTGCAAGTATCACTATTCCTATTTTACAGATTGAAAAACTGAGGCTAGCATAAATGACTTGTCTAAGATTAAAAAAAAAACCAGAAGCACAAGAGTTGTAAACCAATACCAGTGTAATTATAATGTAAGAAATCCAAACTAAACAAAATTAACCTCCATCAAAATGCTATTCAAAAAAAAAACTGTTTGAATCACTCTTACTACAAAGAATTTACTTTTAGGTGGTCTAGATTTAAAAAGACTAGCAAAAACTTAGGAATACTATGAATAGTTCCAGGCCATATTTTCTTGTGATCCTTAGAGTGTAACATCAAGACTTCTCTCTGACTTCAGAATGTTTTTGAATTTAGAAGCAGTAAGAAATAAAAAAGTTAAAATGTAGTTGCTCAAAAAACTTGTCTCTACTTGGCTAATTAAATGTTATATATTATCATATGATCATATCATATCATTTTAGTCAAAACGAATGGATTTTCCTACTACTTAATTCTAAAACATTAAAATTCATGTTTTTCAAATAATTCTGTCTCATCCCTTTTATAAATTCAATTTCTAATTTACCTATTGCTCTCCTACAATTTATTTCTCTACAAAATATTTTTTGCTTGAGCTGAATTAACTTTTCTGCCATTTTCATTAAAGTTCTGATTTTGGCATTTTTCGAGAAATTCATTGCACCTTGGTATCACTGCCTCCTAGTTTAAAATCTTTTTTTCATCTCAGCATTACTCAACTGTCACAACCATTTGTCAACTAACTTCCTCTTTTCTTCAGATTGCTGACCCCTTATTGGAGGTTCTGCTTAGCAGAGATTTTCTTCTCATCACTTTTGTCCATTGAAGATCTGTAACAGGCTTATCCTACATAAATCGAATGGTAACCTGGGAGAGAGTTATCCAAAGTTTTATCTGATTCTGCTCTCATTCTAGAAAATTCATCCTATAAATGGTCAATCTTTCCTCCTAGCATGTGTGGGATGAACTATATATGGGAGCACATATGCCCATGTTCACATGGGGAACAAAATTCTATTTTTATGAAAGATCTACTCAGAAAAAAATAAATGCAAAGAATTTCCTCCTTTGAAATGTTTCTAGTGAAATTTTCAAAGGTACCCAGGAGTGCAAATATTTTCTACCCCAACAAGAACAGTGTAACTTAAATCTCAGTCACAAAGCCTATCTTTTCACTTTTCTATCTATGTTTCCTAGTAAAGTCATTATATTGTCTTCCAAAGTTGCAACCTTCCTAGAAAGTAACGTATTTTCTTTTACCATTAAGGACAAAATTGCTTTAGTACAGAGTTTCAGTTTTAACAGTTCCTGTTTCCCACTTACACTTTGAAATTTGTAGAGAGGTTCATGAATACCCTCTGATTTTAGAAACTGTGGGCGAAAGCATCTGTTTTAGTTACAGAATTTCCTTCCATGCCCTTAATAGGAGATAGCAATCTTCAATGGGATGTTTATAAATGGGTCATGAGATCTGTCTACTTCAAAGAAAGGACATGAACATAGGAAGGCCTTCCAAAACACTGTAATGCACCTGTTGCATACCCTCAGAAAAGATACATTCCTCCACTCTTCTTCAGCTTTCTCTTTGTCTCTTCCAAAAGAACATCAAAATAGCAAACAAAATAACAGGTAAATAGATCAGTGTCATCCAAATATCTACTTAT